GTGATGGAGAAGTCTTGACTTATATCAAAAAGGGAAAGTTCATCCACTGGTTTTCTTTTAAAATGAAAATTAAGTAGTTCTGTGCAGTCTATTAGATCAATTGACTTGTTATCCCTGCTTTGACCTCATCAACAATTCAGAGCAGGTTCTATGCACAATTAACCTCAGAAAAAGACATTTATCTTTGAAGTTCATTCTTCAATTTTTATCAAATATTGTTTTCTGATGGCACAAATGAAAGAACAAGTAGCAAATAAAACAAAGGATTTCGAAGTGGAGGTATAAATAACATAAATCTGGAAAAGCTTAACATTGCTATGATTTAGCAGACTCTTAAAGATAATAACCACTACTGAGCAAGCAAGAAGGTCAAACTAAATGGGTAAAGACTGTTTATTTTTTGTTTGCTTGTAGGAGCATATGACAGATTATGGATTTGGAGATAATGTGTTAACATAAGTTCACAGATCATGCTACACATTTTGGTTTGTTTAACCATCACTTACTAAATAAACCATAGTGGCTGGCTTTCTGAGCCCAAACCCATGGTTTATAAAGCAGTGGCTGAATTTATACAATATGCTAAACCAAAACAAGGGCAACTACATTACTGGCTTAGCGTGATGTACAAATCTAGCTACTCTCTCCTTCAGCAGGCTAGAAAGTTCAGCCAAGAGAGAAATGGATCTTTGCAGTTAGCACCAAACATTTACTGCTATTAAAAAGTAACCCCTGATGCCCCCAGCCATAACAGATCTGTAATTCCAATAAATATATATGTTCCTTTGGGTATCAAACAAAGTGCTGAAGGGGAGTATCCTTTTCTGTCACTGTAATATAGAGACAAATTGCATTTAGATTGCACATAGACAACAGGTAAAAGCAGGAGAGTTGATAAGACAAAAAGTTCTGATACTACTTGAAATGTGGGTGAACCCTTCCTTTAGCCCAATAGTTTACGCAGGAAAATCTTGTAGGTGATTTCTTTTCCTACCCATACAGGCAGAGTACTGTAAAAAGCTACTTAGTAATTATCAGTGTGATGTTTTATCCATCTGTGGGTCAGCTTTCTCTTCTAAACCAGCTATGTTCATTGTCGTAACCAAGGAGGTAAAATAGGAGTTGGACATAATAAGAGGAAAGCTGTTTCCACTCTTTGGTTCTGAATCATTTTCTGGTTAGTGTGAGAAAATTTAAATAATGTAGAGCTAATTTTATTTGGAGTCAGTATCTTTGATACATTACGATTACAAATACTAGGTAGGGATTACTAAGTATTACCTCCAGGTTAGAGTTAACGGTATAGGAATCAACATCAGAACAAGATTAATCACATGGGAGATAGGAGGAAGTATCATTTTCTATATACTGCTATCATAACCAAGGTTATGAGGTGTGAAGATGACCTACTTCCTTTTGTTTATTTACTGCTAGTGATAACAAGTGATGCTTGAACCAAGAGGCTCTAGGAAAGTACAGTAATGAGCTCCAATTTTTAAGATCACGTTCTACTTGTCATTTTACTTAAAATACTTTCCACATTACATATGTTTGTGTCTAAATCTTTCCGCCTCACAGCCTGATGAATTTCTCTGTGCAGGATAAAATTCATCACTGGGAGGATCATGCTCATCTTAAGGAGAACATTAAAGGAATGTTTTGTTTCCTAAAGTACTTTTTGTGATCTCTTTGGTGGATCGAGCTTACCAGGAAGACATGAAGAGGGCTTACTCCAACAATAGTAAGGGTGTATATGGCTATTTTAATTTTGCTAAATCAAAATTTTCATGCAAGAAAACCCTATCAGTTGATTTATATTTTCCTAAAAAATAGTTATAAATGATAGTCGAGCCTAAGTACTAAGTTTTTCTAGCAAATATTGAAAGCTGGAGCTGGGATTAAAAGTGTGGCCACCCGCAAATTCATACTTGCACACATATGCATCATGAAATATCTATTGGCTGTTTACATTCTCACTTTAATCCAAGCTTTCATTCTGCCTTCATTCTGTAATATTCAACCAAAATTGGAAGCTGAACTGCTGTTTAGGAACATAAAGCCCCTAATCCAGTCCCTGGTATTTCTAGTTTATGGAGCTGAGATACCAGGACTGAGAAAATCTTTGTCTTGTGATTTTAAAAAAATCCCAGAGGCGAGGCAAAGTAGAGAATATTTAATAGCCAACTGGGGCTAATTTCAGACAGGTAGCTTCCATCAAATAGGATAACACATATTTTGAATGTGATAGAATTGGTACTAATGCATGTAAATATTTGTGCCAGGGTTATTACACTGATATTAAGCTGTGCTCCTGTATTATATATTTCTGTATTTTAATTTTATCTTAACATATCTTTCTCCATATATATGACAATTAGGTAACCAGGAAGTTCTCCTATTTCTGAATTCCTTCTGAATGAGATGCATTACAACAAATTAAATTAAGTCGTAACATGAACAAAATGTAATCTATAACATTCTAATGCAAGGTTCTTTTTCCTTCTTCCTTCCTTCCAAAGCACTCGTCTTTAATCTGTTCTTATCTTGCTTTTAAGTAACTTCTAATCTTCTAGGAAATTAGCCTACTGCAAGGTCTAGAGGAGAGGAAGTCCTGAACATGAAAATTGCCAAGATTCCACATGAACAGATTTACAAAAAAATTGTCATTTCTAATTCATTATTGCTAAATATTCTCTTTGCTCACTATTACCCATGTAATTATTTTCATTCACGTGCTCTATTTTTTTTGTGTGTAATCATCCTTTCCTAACCCAACTCTTTTGTGAGTTTGCAGATATGTTTTTCTGATGGCCTATCTATTTTGAGGCTTCATTCCTCCTAATAAACTAAGAAAGACACATTTGGACAGTCCCAGAATGTTGAAAGTTTTAGCAGATGTCAGCACTTAGCAAACCTTGATTTATCTTGAAAATACAACTGGACCTAGTTAGTGCTTGGATGACAGATTACTAAGAACTCCTGGATCCTTAAGTTAGATGGGAAGTAAAAAAAACATTGTGGCAAAAACAACAGAAACCATTTTTATACTGTTGTCAAAAAATGAATGGACATATCTATGGAATCACCAGGAGCTAAGTGTGACTTAAGAGATATTTCTAACTAGATAAAGTGAGGGGATTAGCTTCTCTGGTTTAAAGATCACTTTGAATTCCAACAGATTAGTTTAGATTAGTTCTCATTAAACTGATGGCAGAGCCTTGGTGATATGATCACACTTGCTATGGCTGTTCGGTTGTTAAGAGCGGTAACTGGAGCCGTTCACAGCTTTGTGCAAAACACTCTATGGCTTATTGTGTCATATATACACCTATTCTATTCTTCTGTCCTTCTCTATCCAGAAGCAACCAATAATTTGTAACTAGCAATGGATTATGAATCCAGAGTAAATGAAAAGCTTTGCAGTATGTCAAGGAATGTTCCTTTAATGAATTCCTTCTTATGACCCCATATGCTTCTCAAGTCTACCTATAGTAAAGGGAGAACTCTGAACTGGCCAGGATAGGCAACATTCAGGGGTTTTGGGGGGGGAGGGGAACCTGATAAATTTTTTTATTAGGAGCAAGATTCATCCTTAGCTTTGGATGATTTCACCCCATAAAGAGAATGTGGACTGAAGCATCACAATATTGTGAAAATAATCAATTTGTTGTTTCTATATACCATCCTTTGGGAGGAAAAGCCAATTTAAACATATGGGGAAAGACATTTCTAAAAAATAATCGAACAATTAGATAAGTGTCAGGCTCAATGCTGTTAGTTTTAGGAGGATGTTTGAAGTCCATATAAGTAGCTTCCAGCAAAACCTCTCCATCTAGAATTGATCCTATCGACACATTACAAAGGCTGTGTTGCATGGTTCCCGCTAAAATAGAATGGCTCATAAAATTCCCTTTTACCCCGAACATCTGGAACATGTCTGCCTCCTAAAGAAACATGAGAAAAACTTGGTTGAAGATGATGAAGCATCAAATAGTCCTGGAGCTATGTAGCTTGCCATAGGCTCCTATCTTGCCGAAGTTCTGAAAGAATGTGGAGATGTTTGACTATAATTTGACTATAATTTGTAATTAGAATCTGACTATTAAGCTGCCAAGCTGAAAGGGAAAGGCATCAGATCTCCATCCAGCCATATAGTGTTCTTGTTGTTGCTGCATTTTAGAGAAAGCAAGATAGGGGTGCAGAATTCCAGCTTACCAGTTCCCAAGGCTGTTGGTTCTTTCTTGTAGTTTGATGCTCTGAAGTCTAAAATCTTTGGATTTAACTCCTTTTCACTAAGCTCTTGATGGGAGAAAGGAAGAGAGAGCATCATACTCACTTTCACTGTGATAAATCCATTTCCCCCATCTTTTTTCATTTGCACAACATGCAAAACAGGCTTGCTTGCTAGAAAATATTTTGAGTTATATCCTGAGAAATCTGGTATAGTATAAATGTTCATTTGCTGCTTTAAAAAATGTTTTAGCAATAGTTAATCACAACAAAAAACCTACGTAGGCATTTAAAAAGTTATTTTTCACACTGTCTTTGCTACTTGGGACTACCACTATAGCTGGAACTATGGTGGATAATATGATTTAATTTAATTTGCATGAGAGATAGCTAAAATATGATTTCTAAACTCATTTTATCCCTCTGAGGAAGGAGCAGATACTTCTGAAGGCTTATGGCCCTATTATAAAATGACACACAACATTCTGGCTGCAATAGGTGAATAAACCTGATCTGAATTTCATATTTTCATGAAATCATTTTCATGAAATCAATGTCATGGATATTGGGAGCAAAATCCCCTAAGAATGGGGAATACAAATGCAGTAGCAGGATGCAGAAAACCTAGTTAGTACTCTTGACTATTCATGTTTTGTCTGTTTTCTCAGTGGGATGTTTGCAAACTTCCAATGCAGGGGAACCAAAAGATCACATTCCAAAAACAAACAAACAAACAAAAAAATACAGAAGGCTCAGAAACTGCTGGAGAGTAAGTTGAGACATCAGATTTTCAATACTGGACACAAGAAGAAGGGAACCAAACAGGAATGCTGTTACAGACTGTGACAGATTATAGAATAGTGCCTGACTTGATGATAAAGATGTGAATCTGTTCCTGTTCTTTCCTTTCATAGCCTGAATGATCACAGCAGTCCAACTAATTCAGTCCCTGCTTTGTCCCTACTACTTCCTCTCCCGCCTTCATTTGGTGAGGGTCCCACAATGGGAGTGTCAGAGAAGACTGAGCTGACTGACTCTGGATCTGACAATTTTCTTTCTACCTTCTGGACTCCTTTGGGTGCATGTTTGGGGGAGTTGGTGGGTTTGCATTTGCCATTCTGGCCTTGTGCTCTGCTTGGCACTGTGTTCCGATTTAATCCTTCCTTGTCCCCAGTCACTTCAGCATTGTGATTCGGAGTGGTGCTGAGCACTGAAGAGTTGATACTGTCCTCTTGTTGGTTAGCCTGCTTCTCATTGCTGCGGCACCAGCAACGGCATGGAGTCAGGTAAAGATAGATAAGCACAAGAATGACACTCAGGATACAGCCCACTAGTGTGGTGTAGGCTGTATTAAACATGTCTGGGGCTCCGTGAAGGGTATAGTTATGGACTATGACTTGTACATAAAGGGTCTCATTGAACACCTGGCTTACTGCATAACAGGTATACAGACCCATATCATCTGTGCTGATATTACTTATCAGAAGGCTTCCATTTGGCAGCAGAGTAATGGTGTCATTATGATCCTCCTGTTGAACATGCTCATATCGGGGTGTCACCCATTCCTTAACTGTCACTCCTCGTTGCCTGGTATCACAATTGATGGTTGCCTTGTCCCCACGGTGGAACTCTAGGACTTCCTCCTTGAAGGTACTGCAGTTCATGCCTTCTGGATCATACAAGCTGGAAATCGTGATGTTTTTATTCTTGGTCTGATCCAAGCATTGGAGCTCTTCCTCAAAGTCCACAGCGGAGCTTAGTTGCCGTTTCTGCCAGTGGGTGAAGAGGTTGTAAAGGTCACATTGGCAGCTGAGAGGATTGCTGTGAACATAGAGGCCGTTCTTCATCCAGGCTGGGATCTCCTTGACCTCATCCACATGCAGGTTCTTGATCTTGTTGGAAGAAAGGTCCAGCAGTGCCAGTTCAGGAAGCTTGGCCTCTCCATTTTTTACCAGCTCCAGGGGAAAGCGGGAGATCTCATTATGGCTAAGGTACAGTTTCTGGAGGTTGGCCATATCATCAAAAGCTGTGCGGTCAATCTTGGTGATCTTGTTGCTAAATAGGAGAAGCACCTCCAGTTCAATCAGTTTACTGAAGATGTTCTCTCCTAGTGTATCAATGGCGTTGGAGGAGAGGTCCAAGTATTTCAAGTGGGGGACATTGCTGAAGGCCTCGGTGGAGATGAAGTAAAGGCCATTGTGGCTGAGGAACAAGGAATGGAGATGAGAGAGCTCGAAAGGAGTCCACTCTGCTCGCAGGTGGGTCAGCTGATTGTGGCTAAAGTCCAGGACAACGGAGTAATGAGGAAGGTGATGAGGGAAGACTTTCAGGTCCGCTTTGGAGCAGCTGATGATGTTGCTGGCACAGACACAGCTCTTGGGGCAATTCAGCGCCAACCCCCCTTGCCGTCCAGTGCCCAAACTCAATAGCACCAGCAGCCAAGATGCTTTAAAGCTCAGAGCAAGACATTGACGGGACACCGGAGCATCCTGAAACCACATTGTAAGACGCAGGGAAGCAGAGTCAGGGTCCCGTTTCTGGAGAAGAGAAGATGGAGGGGCAGGAACCATGGAGGTAGCAACGAGGGCACTGGGACCGGCGCTGGCAAAGTCCGGGGTTTGCCGCAACACTAAGCCGAGGGCGGGAACGAGGCAGAGGACCCGCTGTGCTCATCACCCGAGCAGGACCGGCAGGATCCACCTGCTGCCAAGTGCGATCCGGAGAACGGCGAAGACCAAGCCGTCGTCGCTCGCTTCCTCCAGCCCCGCTGGGGAAAAGGTGCCTCTCATGGACAAGTCAAGCCCGGCTCACCGCTTTGACGTCCGCTCCTCCCCTTCTCAGCCTGTGCTCGGCCAAGCCCTGCAGCCTGCCACGCGGTGTTGCATTGCACCAATAGTCCCCCAAGCGGTAGCACCAACCGCTCATTCACTCACCGGCGAACGAGGCTCCTCTCCTTCCGCCGCTCAGCCCATCCCGGCGGGTCGGTTCCCGCAGCGCTGGCTCCTCATGCGGCCTCCTGCCGTCGCGGAAAGGAAGAAGCGGGCCGGGCTGCCGAGGAAGCCGAAGGGGGCAGCTCCGGATTCTGAAGGAGGAGTCCGGAGCCGCTGCCAGTTCTCTCCGGCGAGGATGAGAGCGGGAGGCTGCCGAGTGGTCTCCCGCGCGGCCAGAGGGCTGGCGGGGCTTTGGAGGGATGGCTGGTGGGGAGACAGACGCTCGACAGCGCAGAACAGGCTTCCGGAGGTTGCGGAGTGGTCAGCAGAGCAAAGACACGGCGGGAGCCGGAAAGGTTAATCCAGGCTGGTTGATTGGAAGCAGGAAAGGCGGGCAGGAGGGCTGCGCGCGCATGTGCGCGCGTCCTGGGAGTGCGATGGTCTTGCACACTAGCTCCTAGCACGCTCACGCTCACACCCACCCACAGCCTGTCAAGGGAGGAGGAGGAGGATGGCCACAACAGTCCTAGAGAGCGAGCCCCAATTCACACACACACACACACTCGCACAGACGCACAGCCGGCACTTTGGCACCTGGAAGCTACTCCAAACTGCAGCCCAGGGACTCCGGTCCGAAAGGGTGGCTTCCCGGTGGAATCGGGGGGGAAAGGCTGCCGAAACGGCTCCCTGGCTGCGTTCTTGGACCCTCCCTTCTCCTCCCTGCTAGAAGCCGGCAAGTGGCGCCAAGTCCCGACCTCCGTTCTGAAGGGTGTTCTCGTCAGGGCCGAAGGGAGCGGGTCCGCGGGCGGTCTTCGGCTGGCTTGCTCTGCCAGGAAGAGCCTCCTTCGGGGGGGGAAAAAGAGCCTGGCTGCATTCGCGCCAATTGTCTCTTGTTGTTGTTTTGATAAAAAAATGATATTGGTGAGGCGGGGGCTTAAGGGCGGGACGGGCGGGCGGGACGACCAGTCAACAGCCGCTGTCTCCGAGAACGTTCGGGTTTCGTAGAGTTCGATGGGCGCTCTCGAGCCAATGAAGGGAGGCAAGTCTTTAACTAGTCCTTTCCCGGACTCCCTGCGATCGGCAGATCTCGCTGAGTCGCTGGGGAGGGAAATGGAAAGTCCTTGGTGCTTCCCGGCAGTTTCTCCCAAGTAGCGCTCTTATTCGGGAAAAACTCCGGGTGGGAAACTCGGGAGGTGGAGGGGAATCGAGAAAAACGAAAGGATGGATCTAAACGGTCGGACAGGTGACGCCATTCAAAAGATGCTTGGGATCTGTTTGACCTCTAATAACATTAATTCTAACTTTTGCTCCACTTCAGGAGTATGAAGCCATTTAAAGTCTTGCCCTTAGCCGAGAGTTGAAATAGCAATAGCAGCTTAGACTTTACAGCTTTACAGTGCTTTACAGCTCTCTCTTAAGTGGTTTTACAGAGTCAGCATATGGTCCCCAACAATTTTGGGTCCTCATTTTACCCACCTCGGAAGGATGGAAGGCTGAGTCAACCTTGAGTCTGGTGGGATTTGAACTGCCAAATATCAAGCCTCGATTGCATAAATACATAGACTTAATGACTATGTAGTATTTGTAGGCAACTACATATATCTTCTATGTAGACCACTATATATACCTTGGCCAAACGGATCTCAACGGAAGGTGATACAATGAAGGAAATTGAACGGGCATGTTAAATGTGGTTGGCAGGTATTTGGCAAGCTAATTTTCAAGAGTGACCTCTCCCTATGCCGGAAGAGAAAAGTTTTTGATCAGTTGTGCACTACCTGCTCTAACATATGTGAAACATGGACACTAACCTCACAATCGATACAAAAGCTAAGAGTGGAAAATATATTGGAAAAATATATGCTCAGCATTACAAGGCAAGATAGAAAGAGCTGGGCACGGATTAGAGAACAAACAAAAGTATATGATATCATCAAGATAGTAAAAGAATTGAAATGGAAATGGGATGGTTACATAGCAAGAAGAACTGATGGCAAGTGGAGCAAGGCATTCATAGAATGGATCCCACTTGATAAAAAGAGACCTAAAACAAGATGAAAGAGACCTAAAACAAGATGAATCCACAACATTAGCAAGTATTGCGGGGCCAATTGGCCAAAGAAAGCTCAGGACCGTATGGGTTGGAAAGATGCAGAAGAGGCTTTCATCCTGCTGTGGATAGATGATGGCTAAAATGATGAATAGTTGTATGGTTTCTAGGGTGGGAATTATGGTTGTTTCATCTGGTACAGTATATCCTGTGGATTTTTACTCATCTTTCTATCTGA